TTATTTAAAAAATTAAAAATTTTCTATTTAAATCAATGAGTTCGTTTGTCGTCAAGTTGGCTTAATAAGTAATCATTTCATGGACAAAATTTAATCCCATCTGAATTAGACTGAATTAATTAATTAAATGGATGATTTTTTTTCTTGAGAAGAAATAATTGATTAAACTAAATGATTGGAGCTCGGGTGGAATGGGCCGCACTGAAAAACGAAATGGGCGTCCACATCATTCCACGGCCAGTCCAGCTAAGCAAGAACCAAGTTTCTTGAATCCACCCCACATTTATTTATTTTTTTTTATAAGTTTATTTCTTCTCTACTCGCCATAGTTGACCTTCCATGTTCTGTTGCGGCCGATGGCAAAAACCCCATTAATTTATCCCAAAATTAAATGCATATTTGTTCCTTCGACATGAAGCATCCACACCACTTTTCTTGCAGAACTTTTTTTTCTAAAATAATTTTTTCTTTCTTTTTTGGGGTGTGATTCTGGTTAATGGTTGTTTTCCAGGCTTGCCCCATGTATAAAAGTGGAAAGGAGAATGTGTTGATTGATGCAAGTTGATTTGGCTGCTTTTCTCCCATTGTTGATGTTGAATTATTCCAAGTGTGTGTATAAATCTTGTCTTTTATTCCATTCTTAATTACTATATTTCCTATAAGTATTAGGTTAGGTAGTTAGGGGGGTGTCAAACTTAGAAGTGGCCGAGCTTTGAGTTGAAGCTGATGCAAGCCACTCAATTTGTAAATTAATTAAAAAAGGGTTCAAGGGTCTAGTGGTAAATGATGGTAGTAGTAGAATATATTAACTAGTACTTACCAAATTGTTTATTCAAGATTTGGTTACTGGAACCTTGGATTGAGGGCTCGGAATCTACCTACAATTTCTGCTGCTGTTTGATTTCCAAGGCTCTGAAGGTCAGTTTCCCCTGTATTTTTATATTTAGAGCAGCAACTCGAATTCTGGAGTGCAATCCAGAAGCATTCGAGAGAATCTCATCACAATGTACGGTCAAGTTAAAGTAAAGTTAGCTTGTGAGTAAATAGGATATCAAAGTTGTGGAACATGGAGGCGAGTCTACCTTTCTTGTGGTATAACTATTAAGGAATAATTAGCGGCAGCTCACCATGAGTTAAATGAATCTTATATGAACTAAAGGTTAACCTCATTACAATAACTAATATGCCTTATGCTTTGTTTAATACCAATGCCAAAGAGAAAGGAAAATATAGTCATACAGGAAATTCCAATAAAAAGCCTAAGATAGCAGCTGTGATTCTAGGAAAAGAAAAGAAGGTAAATTAGAGAAATGAAACCCCCTTAAACAAACATGAAAGAGTGGGTTATGGAGAAGCAGTAAGCTAGGTGGAGAATTAGCAGCCAAATAGTCTCAAGTGTGGCCATTTTGGAGATACCCTTTTCTTCCCAATACTTTTGCATGCTTTTTCAGCCTTGCTGGATCTCTTTTTCAACTTTTGCGGCTTAGGAGGATGTGGACTTTTCTTCTTTTGTTGTTCTGTTTCAGGGTTTCCCTGTACGCAAAGCCAATTTGATCAATCTAACATCGAATGATGTCACAGTCCCATATGGAAAATATTGTCTTCCTAACTTCTGCACATTAACTACACAAAGAAGGATCATACAAGTAATACTGATTATTGGTTCAATTACGAGGTCCAGGCTTTCCACCATGTCATATCAGCTGAACTGTATATGACTGTCTTTTTCGAGCTTCCAAGAATCCTAGTATGATTTTGCTGTTCTGATAAAACGTAAATCACTCAGTTTGGCGGCCAAGCACATTAATGTACGATGAACCAACGGGCATTCTTATTAAAACTTGATCATTTGGATTAGTACCTTTACCATCATTTGCTATTGTTGAAGACAAATGTATATGTAATTAAAGTTGTTGATGAAAAGCATTAGTGAGAAATTATATATATATAAAAAAAAAAAAACAGTTTACATGAAGGGAATATTCAATTTTACCTTGTTTGTTTTGTTGATTTAAGTTGCTGAATGTTGGTAATGAGGAGGATTGGAGCGGTTCCCATTTGGATCCTAGGCTAGAAGATGCATACCCAGATGTTGATGTTGAAGTGCAGGAGGTGCTGCAGGTTGATTCCAACTCCAAGCATAGCTAAAAGGAAGAAGCAAGCCAAAATCAACACCATCACATAACTGGATATCAAATATTTCACAGTTTGGATGAATGTTAGCATGCAGCAATCAATAAATTCGTACGTGCTTAAATAATTCTTTAATCAAAGTTGAATTTCCAACAATTTATTTAAGATTATGTTAAATGATAAAATCTAACATTCAAAGTTTAAAACAACATCAACTGGTTTAATTATTTTAGAATAAATCAAACAAACACCAATGAGGCCTATATATGGTACAATTGTAGGTTCGATTCTCATGTACACGAGTTTATGTCTAGTAATCAAATTTCGACAGTGCTCACACCTATAATTTATTCGACTGAAATGCATCCAATATATTGAATGAAGAAATGAAAATGAAGTAAAGCATTAGCAATTGTGATTAATCTTATCCACCTGGGAAAGTCTATGCTCAAGAGCTACCACCCTATCCAACAGCGACCCTTTAAAGTAAGCCTCTTTCATTGCCAAATCCACCGGCACCGGTATTGGCACGAATTCCTTTCCGACCCCTTTCTGCAAACTCCATTTTCCTTCTAAACACTTCATCTATGGCAAGAAGGTCAATAAATTAAACACAGATATATGAAGATAAAAGCAGAATGAAGGAGGGAGGGAGGGAGAGGGGGTGTCGAATCACTCACAATGAAATCCAAATGATCCAAGCGAGAAGGAAGATGCATAGAAGGGTGATGTCTTCGATCTTCCATTTCCATCGCAGCTTAAGTTTGGAACGCATTTAGGCCTGTTTTCTTGCTAAGAGATTAGTGGTTCAGTGTGTTGTAGTTTTGTACAGTGCACAGACATTAAAGGCTGAAAAACGGTTACAGATTCCCCCGCCTTTTTCTCAACTCTTACCTCACAACTCAATTCCTAGTTTGTTATTGAGTCAGAACTTGCAAAAAATAGAGCCCAAAATTCAGCTATTTTCGAAGGAAAAAAAGAATAAAAAGAGGAGTGATATCTTTAACCCCCCTCCGCCCTTTGGCTTCTTACTCTTAACGCATACCAGATCACCTTAGCTAATTTTTTGTGAGTGATACTTAACGTGTCCTTGAACTTTATCTACATTAGATTTAGTTATGTAGTAAATATATTATAGTTTTGTGTATTAATTAATTAAGAAACTAAGGAAAATCAAGATTTTGTAGCAATTAAAATGCTAAAAATAATAGCGAAAAGATTAAAATATATTTAATGAATTAACACAAAAAAAAAAAAATCAAAGATATTTAAACAATTTTATAAAAATTATAAGATGTAAAGTGTGAAAACATCATAATTTTTACTTTTTCAATAAATAACTAAAAATATAACTACGTTTTTTTCCCCTTAATTTCCTATATATATTGTTTCAAAAAATTGCTATAGTGCGTCTAATAATTCAACCTTTAATCTGTTTTCTTTCTTTCTTTCTTTTTTAACGCTGCAAAAATTTCAATTTACTCTAACTTAAATAAGAACTACTTTAGTTTTTTTTTTTTTTTCCTCAAGAAGTTATTAATTTCCTAATTATTAACTTTCTAAGACTGAGAATTGAGAATTATTAATTTACTATTCTATATTTTTTTCATTATGAGTAATGAGACAAATAAAATAAGAATATATAGGAGACCAATGACATAACATAGCCACCACATCTACACTTAATCTGTGGATCCAACACCCCTATCCTTCATCCCAAACTAGATCTTGTCATCTCATATGCCAGGAAGCATGCTGCATTGGCTGGGATACTTCGGGCCAGGGCAGGGCCGAAACCCTTGTAGAGGCCTTTCACACCTTCTGAGGCTAGGATCTTTCTGAAGGCATCAATGGAGCCAGAGAATTTTGGATTCTTGTAGTCGTCTATCTGGATCACACTCTTAACAATGTCAGTTGGGTAGACAGAAAGCCAGACGGAAGCCCCAGCCAAGCCTCCAGCTATAATTAGAGAGCCTCTTCCCAACTTGGAAGTGTCCTGCCCTCCAGCCATGAATTGTTTCACTGCTTCATAGACACCAAACATGACAGCATTTCCAGGAACCTCACGTGCCAAGGTGGGAACCATGCCCTTGAATAGACCTCTACTGCCACCTTCCGATCTGAGAACGTGCTTGGCCACATCAAGAGGCCCTCCGTACATAACTGCCACAGCACCTGTGCCAGAACCTAACAATGCACTTTGAGCTTGCAATCTGATTTCACCATCAAAACGAAGTGCAAGAAGTTAAAAGGCAGTGATTCAAGGGGTCTATTCTATCATCCAAATAACCAAGTGGAATATTAAGTATTTAGATGCTCAACATTAATCAAGATTCAAGATGCTTTCATAAACCTCCACAAGAACATGGGTTTTGGCATGAAGGGAAACAGGTAATGTTAAAAATTGTTGAAGGATTCTTAAAGGACAAACAAAGCTAATAAGCTGGCTGTGCCGGCTCAAATTCATGGATTATTTGAAAAAGGTGAAAAGAGAAGATGATTGTTTATCAGTTTGTGACTACTAAAAGTCTTGTGAATTGCATAAAGAAACCATTTGACATTCTTGTCAAGGAAAAAAAAAACCTGTTCTATTCCACATATGAGGAGAAGTAAAAGAAGTGAAAGATTAAATTGTAGTTGCCAAACGTGTTCCCTAAAACAGAGAGGTAAAACAGAAAGATGGACCATAAAACCAAAGGAAAATCCACAAACTGAGATGATAAAAGACATAAAATACCCCAAATACTGACCTGCATTTGATCAGCTCAGTGGGGCAAGCTAGGAAGGAAACTGCTACTCCAGCTCCAGCCCCACAAATGATCTGCTGGTTAACTGTGAGGGGAGCACCGGGTTGAGATCTCAACAGTGCCTCCATTTGCCCTCTCACTGCAAATAGGAGAGCATTGAAGGCTGCCACAGTGGCAAGTGGAGCCCCCATACCTTTGTAGAGACCCCTTGGACCTTCAGCAGCTAAAGTTTGCCTGACAGCATCCATAGCACCAGCATACTTTGGTGGTTGTCCAAGAAGAGGAGCAGGCTGGCTTTGAAGCTTGACCTTAATGGTATCGAAGGGGTGTCCAACAATCAACTGAGCTGCTCCTCCGACAGTCCCAGAAGCAAGGTCCTTAGCTACATCTGCCATCTGCAACAACAAACCGGAATTAGAAATTCCATTTGCTAATGAGTTGAAGATATATCGAAATGGTGCCTGTTTCTGCAATAAAATAGGCTATTGAAATCGAGATAAAGAAACTACTTTCATTTGTGATTTAGCCTTGGAAAACAGAGAATTTTGAGAGTAATAGTTTTCTCTTGAACACTAATTTTTCAAATTAACTTTTTTTTCCCATTAGAATGCTCCAGTTAGAATCAAAAAACAAAGAGCTTGCATTCTGTAATCCTTCCCGTTATAATTCTGATATGTGGGAAACACAGACAGACAGCAGGGTAAAAAATCACAAGGAGGGGAACAAGCAGGTCCTAAAAAGGGGATATTCTTATGAAATTAATTCCAAAAGGACCATATTCAGCCTCTTGAAGCTAAGGAAATTATAAAAATTCAATAACCAATGCAGTCTTCCATTACCCTCCACAGCCACTTGTTTGTTCAGGAAATGTAAGATTGCATTAACGCAGCAAAGGTATCAAATTCATACACTGGAAACCTATGTGAAAACATGTATTACCAAAAAATTCACTAACCAACAGTCTTTCATTACTTACCACAGCCCCCTGCTTGTTCAGGAAAAGTAAAACTGGACTTTTAACCCAGCAGAGTATCCAATTCATACATATATACAAAATATGCCAACTCATTTTCCGAGCCTCTTGACATATTGTGCTTTTAGAAACTTCACCCAAATCATGTCTTAAATCTCTCATACATACAAACATACACATAAACATTTCAATCGAAATGACACCAAACAAGTCAGGCATCGTAATCAATATCAAAGAAAGAAGACAACAACAGAAGGAAGTCCCGCAAATCACACAACCAGGTCCAAATATGAAACTTGATATGGGTCTAAGCAAAACATCAATATGAAATGACAACATGGTCCTGAAAGCATTGACTTTTTACCATTAAACATGGTACAGTATTCTACAAAACTTGATTCCACAACCTGATGAGAGATAGAAAGGTTACCAGGGCCAAATCTCACAACACAATGCAAAAGAACCAAACTTGATGAAACCCCAACTCCAGTAATCTAGCCTGGAAACAGAAAAACATCATATGAAATCGAACAACGTTTCTGAAAAATAAGATGAATGAGAAAGAGAAAGCAGAACGTTACCAGAAAAATATTAAGTGAGCAGTAAAAGCCCCATAACTTTCTGCCTAAATTTGGGTAAGATGGGTTGATGAATGCCGTATCTTTGTAATGGTAATAAAGACAATTGAATCTGGGTGAAGTGCGTGGATGGGTTTGGAACTTTGGACGGATACTGACCACTGGCCCACTGCGGTCCTAAATTTTTGGAGCAATGGGCAGATTACCCCCCTCAACCGATTTCACGTGCAAATAAACCCTCAAACTTATAGACGGTGGCGAAATGGTCCTCATTGGACGGCTGATGTCAGCAATTCGTCAAAAAAAACTAACGGTGAGCTGCTTTTAGTGGGATCCATGAGTGAGCCGGCGGCCGATAAGACTTGTTCTCGTATTGAGCTGGCCAGCTTTTTTACTCTTCTAACTTTTTTTTTTTTTTTTTTCCCTCCTTTCATTTTAATTTTATAACATGAACTGAGGATAATATAGCATATTTCGTTTTCTTAAAATTGTTTTTAGAGGATATGTTAACAAATTATTTTTTAATTAATATTTTTAAAAATTAATTATTAAATTAAAAGTTTGATTCATATAAATTATAAATATTAATTTTCATATAAATCTAAAGTTTATAATACTTTAATCAAAATAACTCTATTTATTACTATATATTTAATTGTGTAAATTTTTTTTATAATTAATGAAGTGGTTAGGCATATTAGATGAACATAAAAATTTATATTAAAAAAATTTTAATTTAATAATTAATTTTAAAATCTACGAGCATTCATTTACCAGAAAATAAGTTGTTGAAACATGACATACCAAAGAAGATGAATAGAGCCCCTTCACCTTCTCCAGCAAGTTATTTTTCTAATTTTCTAAATTTGATTTAACTTTTTTTTTTTAACTTTTTGTTATGGGACGGGTTTGAAACCCGTTCAAGGGAAGGGGGTATGCACTTTTTCAATAACATTAACCATTGGACCATAAGGGTCAAGTGCTAACTTAATCTTTTTTTAAACTTAACTTAGTCAAGTAATCAATGTAATAATTAATAAGTTGAAATTAATTAACTTATTAAAATTAATTATATTCTTTAATAGTTTTAATTTATAATTTAAGTTAAAAAATAACTACTAACTTTTTCTTATTATCTTTTAACCCCTTTTTTTTCATGATGTGGCATTGCCACCTCCGCAACGGTGGGTCCCCATATGAAAAAATTGTCCAGCTCATTGCCAAATAAAGCCATGTAAGCAATTTTAACGGAGAACTAACGTTTTACTGACGTCATCCGTCCAATAATGGCTTTTTCGCCACCGATGATGAGTTTGAGGGTGTATTTGCACGTGAATTTAGTTAAGAGGTTAGTTTGCCATTACATAAAAAGTTTAGGGGCTAATCTGCATGTTTTGGCCACCAAGGCAGAGGGTGGATATCACACGAAAGGACAAAAGAGTGTGAAGTGTGACCGAGTCAGAGGGCTGCTGGCCGATGTTGTCTGTTTGAGAGTGAAATAGTTGTAAAATCAGCTCTTATCTGAGATTAAGGTTGTCGTCACCATTAATATTAATTTTAATTTTGTTAAAATTAATACCTTTTTTTTATTAATTTTATTTGAATAAATTTAATTTTTTATTTAATAAAATACAAATATAATAATTTATTAATATCTTTTACTTTCCTTGTTAATTTTTAATACATTAAAATTTTTTATTTAATAAAAAAGAAATATAATAATTTATTAGTAAAATTTTATATTTATTTCTAATTAAGTACTATTTTCTTTTTTATTTTTAATAAATTTAATTTGCCTTTTTAATTTTTAAAACATAATTTTTAAATAAAAATTTAACAATATAAATGAACAATAATTGAATTTTAAAAAAAAATACTTAGCAAGAATTATATATAAAGACAAAAAAATGTTAATATTATTCATATAATTGTCAAATATTCATTTAAAATTTATATTTTAAAAGTAAAAAAATTAAACTAGATTTATTAAAAATAAATGAAATGAGTACTTAAATAAGACTTTTTATTTGATTTTTCTTTAAATTAAAGATTTGAAAATAATTCATATATTTACCTATATTATCATTAAGAAAAGTTAAAAAATAAAGTCAGACTTTTAGTGATATGATAATTAATTAAAGTAAATAAATAATGAT